CCACCCAACTGGCTTTTCCTTCTTGTGTCTCTCTGGCAAATTTTTTCATGCTTGAACTGTTTGAGCAGAGAATTTAGCAAGTTTTTGCTTTGTTTGACAAACGCCAAGGACAATGACAGCCGATTGAGTCGAGGCGGTGGAAAACGAGTGCGGCAGGAAATGGAAGTTGCATCGCCCCGCTTTTCCGACTTTTCCATTGATTAGTTGGCAAACAGTGCAGTGGAAATGGTTGGATAATCATATCATGTCCACCGCCCACTTTGCCTATTTAAGCTTGTCATCAATCAGGGCATTATGGCCAATTGAGTAAACATTGTGAATTTGTCATGGTTAAAGATCGTTTAACAGCGATGACATCTAATTGCCCTCCACTTCCCCATCGCTGGCATACCTACACACAAACACACACACACACACACGTATCTCTTTCGGGTTCTCCTGTCAATTTCCATTTGAGCGGATATTTGTCGAACAAACTCAATTGATTTTCCAAGCTCTTCGTTTTCCCTGCCTTTCTCCGCTCGCTTTCTCCGCAAGGCTCATAAGCCACAAAATGCATTTCTAGCAATTTCCTTGTTTGGCCCATTTTTATGGCGCATGTTGCATACTTTACGGCGCCACTGTTTGATTGGGAGTGTGTGTGTGTGTGGGTAGCAAACGTACTTTTACTCCCGTTGCCGCCCACCTCATCTGCTTAGTTTTTCATCCAGACTCAGCCTTGACTCAAGTTTTTCAGGAAATCATTGCACCCAAAGGCGGATATATCCCAGTTGGCTCGGTGCCCCCTTTATCCCCGACATATATACACCGTATATATATATATATATATAGGATATGGTATGGTATATATCCTCTGTCCGCACTCTCCTTCGTTCCCTTCGCCAGCTGTCTTCGGCACTTCAGCCGACGCTTAAGTTGCACAAAATGTAATACATTTGATTGCACTCATGTTCAAGTTCTGTGGCCAAAGTGGCTGCTGGAGTTGCAGCTTCCGAGGAGGAGAAAAAATGAGGAGCTGCAAGGCGATGCCCCAGACCATGGCCCACTTTCCGCCCGATTCTCTGTCGGATTCCCTCCGTCAGGTTGCCGGATTCAGGCGCTCTCTTTCCTTTCTGCAGCTCAAAGTCGTAAGTGAATACGGTTGGTGGGTGTGGGAGCCTGAAAATGCTACAAATTGATAGATCCGCTGGCACATTGGCAACAACAGCCAGTAGCAGCCAATTGCGAACTATCTGTTTATTAGACCAAACATGAGGAAAAGCCGGGTGAGTGCATTACGTGAATACGAGATGGATGAGCTCCATGAGTGGTTGCTTTGTTTATTTTAAATACACGCATCTTGGGTTTTTCATAATTGTGGATATTCAGGATTTTAGGATTCTACTTTAAATTTGATTAGATAGGGTAAGCTACACTAGTTTAACTAGTTAACTTAATATGTTTCATTTTTTTTCTAAAAAAAGATAAATTCAAACGCTGTAAGCTCCTTTCGCACTTTCTCACCATAAATGATAGGTTTAAATCTCATGTAAAGATAGTCCTCATGTGCCTTTAAGCAATCTGATTTATTCTCTTTTTATGAAAGAGATCCTTTGACAGACCGTCAACGCACTTTCCACCTATTCCACATCCAGATGACCCCTTTCATTAATACCCATTAGAGGCGTCTTTCGCTGCGAGTGGCCTTATACATCATTCACAATTAAATCTGATTAGAGAGTTAGCGGGTCCATCAGGCTCAATCAAAACTGGCATGCCGAGTGCTCCACACAGCCGCACAGTGGGACAATGGCGGCGTGCCGGCCTAAATGGCAAAACTGACGGCCTGTCGCATATTTCCCATCCCCTCCCCCTGCTGCTCTTCTCACCCACCAGGCTATGCCATTCCAGGACCATGGCTAATAGCCTTTAACTGATGGCGGGCAGCTCCACCATTAGGCTGGAAAAGCGGGAGTTAGGAGGGAGGAACTTCTGTCGTCGGAAAACGGCAGTCAGGACGACATCGACATCCGTTCAGGTTGAGGCATCGACATGCTAATAGCTTTGAACTTTCGCAAATTGCAGGCACTGCAACCCTTTCGCCTGCCTTTTTGCAACTGCAACTGCAACTGCATTTGCGTTGGACTGTTAATTACCGTTATTGAACTTGTTTGATTGGCACAAGTTGAAAAGTTGGGCGAGCCGAGCCAAGGCAATCGCTGACCGCCCGTCGAGCAGCGCCCGTTTAACCCATGGAAATCGGATTTCCCGGGCGGACGAATGTTTGCGTGTGGGTGCAACAGTTTTCCCCAACTGCCACTGCCACATGTTGTGTAAATAAAGGCAACGTGCTCGCCAGCCACTTGGAAGGGCGTGCGCCAGTTTTACGATAATATTTCCTGCAATTAACCAGCTTTTACCTTTTGCCTTTCCTGTTCATATGATATACCTTGCCATAACATCGTGACTGGGGGTATCGGCTGCAATTAATTCATAAATAAAATATTTTTTAATTTCACATCTTGTTGAAGAGCTTATGAGAAAATGCCTACACCAAACAAAATTGAAAGCTATTAAATGTGCCTGTTCTTATTTTAAAATTAGATAACATAGAATTTATAAAAATTGTATTTTCTTAACATTAAAATTTCGACTATTTTTTATACGATTTAACTAGTGTTAATGATGTATTTTAATTTAATGATTTTAACTCTTTGCTTTAATGTTCAGCTTGTTTTCAATGTATTACAATGTATAACATAACAGTATGTTCACACTTAATACTTTTAGTATATATTTACATTTGTTTACAATATTCACATAAGTAGGTTTTTTATTATATGTATGTTATTTCAACGGTAATAATAGTTTCTTAAGCAGTCTTGATTATTTTTCTAGTGCTTTTCATGGTTTTCCAATACTCCTGGCTGTGTGCCTGACATCCGCATCCTTTAAGCAAAAAACAAACTGCAGCGGGACAGAAATGCATTCAACGCCGGTTGTCAATTGGCAGGCAATGGCCAATACAAAGGCAAAACTGGGCAAAACAAGATGGCGGACATCGTCCTTGTTGTCCTTGTCATCGCTGCGCTTTTCCCACTGTCATCGGCATGTGGACATGTGTGATTGTGTGATTGTGTGCGCCAGTGCGATTGCCTCGTTGTTTTCGTTGATTTTTCCAGTTGGCTTCCACAGCCATATTGTTAACGCGCTCGCTGCGGAGCTTTCTGCCATCCCGCTTTCTCTCTCTCTCTCACTCTTTTCGAATTCTTCGGATGCTAAAGTTGACTTTTTACTGATTTGAACTGCAAACTTTCGCCATAGTTTAGTAGTTGTGGTTGTTGTTCTTTTTCGAAGCAACCGAGAGGGATTTATGGGGGCTCAAAGTGCTTCTCGGTTCTCAGCTCTCAAATCTCGCTTGGGTGTGAAGTAAAAACTTTGTCCTGGCGCAAGTAGGAAAATTTATATATACACATATAGGGACGTGCTACATCTGTAGGTGTTCAGGCACTTGGGCATAAACTTGTGCAAGTCAGTGTGTAATCAGTTCTGAGCCAACTGTAATGCCACCAGATGATATCGATTCAATTTTCAGTTCTTTCGGGTAGCAATCCAACAATCTTTTTAAGTGGTCAATTCATTAACATTAGCTGCAGATTGTTTACTGGGAACTCAAAAAAAACAAATGTTTCTGGCTGAGAAGATATATCAAGTTGGGATGTAAAGTAAAGCAACTGTCAACTGCTGCTAAATTATATCCCATTCGTTGGAGGAAAATGGCATGGAAGCCCTAGTCGATGGCAGTTGCAATTGAATCCAGCTTTTATCCAAAGGGCGACAGATTTTGTGTGGGTTCTGGAAATGCAAATTTCGGTGAATTTACGGCCAACCCATTTCGAGAATTTATTGTTCTTGCATTAGTTTTGCACCCACTTCGCTAACAGATGCGATACGTAAAAGGGAGTTATTAACTTAAGGGATTTCCTTAATTGTGATTCTGCAATCTCGGACTTTCAATGATGTAATCCAAAATGTTATCCCTTGTATCAACGTTGCGTGAAGCTCGTGTGGGAAAACTCACTTTTCTCGTGCGCAAGTTTTATACGTTTTGCTAGCACGAATTCAATTTCTTTCCTACATTTTTTCCCCGCTTTCACTTTGCTTCAATTTATAAAATTGAATATTGGCAGCGAAACTCGATTTGTCCACACATGGCCACGCCCACAGAAGCAGGAAGATTTGTGGGTGGCAAAAAGGACCTACCGCTTTCCCGGTTGTGTTGCGTAAGTTGGCAAATTATCGGGAAGGAAGCCGAGAATCTAAGAGCTACTTACCCATTAAAGGAAAGCACAGTGGGACAAATTCAGCACTTTATAGATTGAAATTCATAGAAGTTGGGAATTAATTTTCATTTAAACTAGTGAAGTTATTTAAGTTATTGATGGATGGTTTGTTTTTTATTACCAGTGTCTGGGACTTTAAATTTCTTTTTAATTTTCTTTCATGTTCCACTGTTAAAACGCTTAGTGCATTTCCTTTGGCAGCCTTTATTGCCTGCCAATTGCTTCGTATCCTGCCTCACACACACACACACACTCACATGTCAATGCCTTGGCACGCATTTTATTTAAATACACTTACAGCTGGGCACATGTGTGCGTGTGGTGTGGTGCATAAAAATTGCCATTTTTCCCAGTGATTTTTATTGCGCCCACCGCTCTTCTTAGTGGGTCCCCAGTCCTTATCGCCACCCCATCTTCTGTTTTCCTCATCACTCTGAACGCCGTTGACAGCTTTACGTTTTGTGGGACGCACAGTGACTTACATAAGTACACCAACACATCCCCCGGTACACACACGCTCGCACAACTGCTCCTTTGTGTGTCATTTAGCTTTTGTCTCACGCGTGCCAAGTTCCCATCCCTTTTTCCCCCATTTTCCGACTTGTTTGTGCTCTTAATTTTCTTGCCAAGTTTGCAGTTTTCGCAACGTTTTTATATGATTTTTATACAAACGTGATATATTTTTCTGATGCGCCCGTTCACTTTTTATTATCGCACTACCGCCTCACGTGTGTATGTGCGTGTGTACGGGTGTGTGTGCTTGGGTCTTTGTCCTTCTTCCTTTGTTCTGGCTTATTCAATTTCATTTATTGATTTCCCTGCTTATCTCTATCTGTGCGTTTTCCGAGTGGAAGGTAAGCACCCTACTCCCCCTTCATAAACGCAAACTGACGGGGACGAACGGCCATGTGCTGGTCCAAGGTGTTCCAGAATCCCGACAGGACGGCGCAGTCCGAGTGGCGCTCGCTTCGAGGCAGGTCGAGCATGTGCACCTGCCAGCCGAGCAGATCCTTGCACGGCACCATGTCCTTGAAGTGCAGGTGGAAGGCGCACACCCTTAGACAAATGAGGGCGGGGTCCCCGCCCTGCGGCCATCCCTTGAACTGCCAGTGGGGTCCCAAGGCGAAGACGGCCGACACCCGCTCCCACTCCTGCGGACTCAGACGGGACACGTTGTCGATGACCCGGTAGCTCACCGTTCGGCCCTGAAAATAGTGTTTTATAAAATAATATATAAAAAGTATAAAAAAGTATTGCAGAAAGCAAACACCTAAAATTCAAAGATACCTTCAAAACTAATTTTTTAATAGTAATTTAACAAAAGTTTTTGCCACAAATATGTTAAATTCTTTGACATAAAAATGAAAAAGCAGGAATTAAACTATATTTTATTTAACCCACCTGGAACACACGCTCGATGATGATCTCGTCGAGTCTTTTCTCTCCCGACAAGGATTGACGAGCCTGTTCCAAGGTAACGTAGCGCATCTCCTGCAGGAGTTGCCTGGCATTGTGAATGGTTATCAGGCTGCTTAGAGCAGCTGGAACCACGATGATGGGCATTCGTGAGTGGTGACTAGCCATCTGCCTGGGAAGATATACTCTTTTGACAGTCTTGGTTTTATCAAGCTTGCACCTCTTCGGACTTAAGTGTCCGGTCTTGGTCTTCTCTAAATTGGTGCCCTGCGGATTGATGCCGAACAACTGCTGATCCTTTAGGAACTTCTCCTGCCCATAGCGATTGTACTTTGTTTTGGGGTTGGGCTTAATCGTCTTCTGCTCGGGCAGTGCAATTGGCTCTTCTTCAGCTTTCGGAGAAGGGACTTTTTTCTTAGTGCCGCACCCTTTGCTGGAATTAAAGACCTTGGAAACTATTGCAAGGACTCCCGACAGATCCTTCTCGCCAGACCACTGCTCATCGTAGGTGCGATGCTGCCTTTCGCGCTCTGCGACTTTCTTTAAAATCTCATTCTGATGTTTCTGCTCCTGAAGATCTTGATCCAACAGCTCCATCCTTTTCTGATTGCGCCTCACTGTGATGTCCTGCTTCATAGCCAGACGTTTGGCCTTAATGGCTGCTATGGCTTCCACAGTCATGGTCTGGGAAAGCGTCTTCAGTTTAAGATCCATTTCAAGTTTTTAAACTTCTTTCTTTTTGAGAAATTATTGCTTATAATCTGACAACGCGTAGTTTTCCGGAGAATGTTTGCCTTGAAGTAAAAAGGTATCCCTACTCGATTGAGTTAACGATAAGTCGCCAGATGTTTATGTGAATTAATTATATTTTCTCATTGATGATGGAGGAATTAAAAATCGCGAAACCTAACAGAGTTCCGGCTTTCACTCTATAACTCCTCTTTCTAAAGTGGAGTGTTTTTTCTTGGCGTCCCTCCTTTGCTGGCACATAAAAAACTCATAAATATTCAAACTTTCTCGCAGCCATCGTTTATTTTTTGTCAAAGCCATTATTTATTTTTATTACATTGCCTTGGTCAGTTGTTTGGCTCGCTCCTGCTCTCCGATGATTTTTATTTTTCCGCCCCGAGTTGTTTTTATTTGTAAGCTATTTTTATTTGACAAAGTTTCACCCTCATCCCGGGAGGTCGACGCAGAAGGAATTGTCCCGGCTTTATGTTATTGACTTTAATAACATTTTAGCTGCAAGGCATGAAAATATTTTTATAAATTGTGTTATTGTTTTCTTCGGCCTTCGTGCACTTTTTCCCAACAGCATCGCTCCGCATTGTTTTGCCGCCGAAGCCTGAAATTGATTTCCGCAATGTGAGTTAGGAGTGGTGGCGAAGGGGCCACTATGGGAACCCATCATAATTTATGCATCCATCGAGTCAGCCAGCCAGCCTCAAAAGCTATTAGCCAGCTAAGTCGTGCGCCCCCCTACCCCCCGACTTGCCAGTTATCGGGGCTTTAGCCCGGGGAAGCCCGTAATTGCTAAAGCGAAATTTCATTACCGAAAACGAAAAAGAGCGGGCGGTAGTCGTAGTTGGCTGCTAGACGTAGACGGGTTTCGTTTCGCGTGTGATAAATACCGTAAAAGGTCGCCGCCATCGCTGCCAGTGAAATGAAATTTTCATCCAGACTCTTGTGGCAGCCATTTTGTCGGTGTTGCACTAGAAAATGGCTGAATGGCGGATTGGCGGCGGTCGCAGCAGCGGCAGCGGCATCGTTGTCGCCATTTTTGTTTATGGCCGCATTTGTCACGGCAAATTGTATTGCCAACTGGCGGGGCTTTTGCCATTCACCGGTTCTTTTTGCCTTTTAGTTGTTTTTGTTTCTTTTTGCCACGTTAAGAATGCGGCAGAAAAAAGGCGATGAACCGTAAAGCTCACCTTACGTCTACGGTTTTCTGGCATGTTAATTAAACCGGCGGGATGGCCGGGATCATCTGATTGCTCATTTGGCTCTGCGCTAATTAAGTTTATGGCATTATGACGGCAAAAAAAATGGGGATAGTATGTGGAGAGTTGTTGGTTGGGTTTTCGGCTGTATGATATTTCATATAAAGGGAAAAGCTATACAAAAAATCTGCATAAAAACCGCACAATAGATGATCCAAGTTCCACGAGGACCAGGAAAACGAATACAATGCTGGGGAATTGAAATTGAAAACAATGGCTTACTGACATAGATATGCAATGCCTTTTTGCCGCAGTTAGATTCCCATTCTCGATTCTTTTTGGGGAAACTCAGCGAAGCGGACACGAGAAGCGAGTGCATAACTTCAAATTTAATCAGAGAAGAATGCGACCACGCATAGAAAAAATTCTGGCCGCGGGAAATGGAATCATCGCTGGCCAGCGTTCTGCACTCAACTGCATGGAATCGCATCAAAGGAAGGAAAAAAACCCTGCGGAAGGGAAATGGGGGAAAAAAAGAGTGAGTTTCGGTTGCCTTCGGCAATCCGCCCACGCAACTGGCAACTAATTTCGCCTCAGTGACAAGACGAGGCCATCAGAAATTCCCCCAAACGAACCTTGGCCAATTATTGTTTGCGGCCCTCTCTCGTTCGTTTTATTACGTAGCCGCAGCATTGGCCCGTTTACGACACAGGACCCTCAGCGCAGGACGAGCCCGGTCGAATCATTTAATGTGCAGGCCGAGAGAGGAGAGAAAACAATTTTGTCAGCTTATAAACAGTAAAAATAAAATGCCTGGCTAAACAAATAAGAGGAGAGCGCCGGGTGAAGGACATCACTATAAAGCGCCATTGAGACACGAACACGTGTAGAGCACATTTACAAGACACCCAGCCTCACATGCATATAGCACTTACACAGGGAAAATCAATTGAAAATAAAAATAATAAAGAATTAAATCTAATACTAAGCTTATTAAATAAAACATAATGTTTTTATTCTTAAAATTGAATGCTAAGAACTGCAATTTGATAATCAATTATTAACTTTCGATTTCTCTCTTACAAAATATTATGAAAAACCTTTGGTATTTCCTTTTTCTTAGTGTACATGTGTTTACTTGGCTCCCTTGACAAGGCCGACACTTTATTACTTTCCTTGGCGAATTATTTTCATTATGTTTTCACTTTCGGAGCAGATTCCCGTCGCAGGGCAGGGCAATTTAATGGAAATGAGATTGGCTTCGTCTGAAGGTGCAATGAAGCCGTTCACGTTGAATGGAAATACACTTGTTAAGCGGGCAAATAAAGTTGGCGAGAAGAATGGAGGAGGCCGGCTGATCAATTTCAATGACCCACTTTTGACTTTTGTCGCCACGCCAAGGAGCTCGAGTTCCGATCAAGTTGGTCCGTCCAATGGCTCACCAACGACCACATCGAGACGACTTCACATGCCAGTGACAGGCTGCACAGGATATGAACTGGTGGTCTGTTTGTGCCCACTCCACTAACACACACGTATTTTTCGCAGCGGAGTGCGCTAACCTTTTGAAAGTTCTTCTAAAAGTCGACAACTGCAGCCGCAGTTGCAATCTGTATCTAGTTTTGCTCCTTTGCCATTCCCGGCATGTCCACTTGGATGTCTCTCCATCATGTTTGCACATTTTGATGTCTGTTTGATGTGCAACAGTTGCACTTCAAGTGGCCAGTTGCTCTGGCTGTCATCTCGCTTTTGCGAAATATCAAGCATTCGCCATGTGGTCCGACTCTTGGCACTTCCGCCCGCAGGGGCCACTTGGCCATGGACAAGGAGAGAGAGAGAAACTTTTTTATTCAATTTGATTTTCTTCAACTGCAAGCAGCTGTTGCAACTTCCCCGCAAAATTGAATCCGAGAACGGATGCCAGCACACGAAATTAAGCGGAAACTCTGAAATTTATTTGCAAGGGGTTATGCCGGAATATTTATATCGATTTTCCGCAGCGTTGAAATGTCGCAATCTTTAATCAGTCGGCACTCTAAGTGGGCCACATATGCATTCGTCTCGGGGACTTTTCCATTAAGCCAAGAGAACTTGTGCAGGCAATCAACGAGGCAACCTTGACGAGCACGCACTCAAATAAAAGTTTACCACTTACTTCTGAAATACACTTAAAAACGAGAAAGTAATTATGGGAATTTGATTACAGCAAGGCTCTTATATGAACATTAAATTCTCAAAAAAAGGATTTATTTTATTGTCTTAAATAAATAAGTATGTCAAGTATTTGAAAGTATATTGTTCCTAATTTTAGGGCTTTTTGTTTTCCTTGAAGTGTGTGTGTGCGAGTAGCTCTTCATGACATTTGCAGGCTGACAGGAAGTGCACTTCAAACGGAAATTGCGACACACATATTGCCTGCTTCCTTTGACTCATTTCTCTCTTTAACAATATGCGCACGTATGCTAATGTCTATGTATCTCTCGCTTCCCCTAAATTACCGTAATTTATTACAGCCAGTGGGTGGGCGTTTTTTCTTCTCCTCAAATGCATTTCAATTGCCAAGTGTGTCAAAAGTTTCAACGCTTTTCGGGTTTTTCCCGGCTCACCTGCCAACTGTTGCCCTCTCGTGTTCACCTGCTCGTCTGCTCAGACTGCCGTCTGTCTGCGCTTCTGGCCAAAAGCTCATCACATTCGCCACTTAGTCAGCTCGTCAGCTTTTGTTGCAACATTTGCCGCTGCCTACACTTGGAGAAAATGGAGCCTCCAGCTAAGCTAAACTATTCGCAGAACAGCAGCGAATGCACACTATTTTATTATCAAAAGATATATTTTATTTTAGCTGATTTATTAATTATAATGAGTAGTTACTCGAATGTATCTTTTTAAATTACATTTCTTTCCTGAATTTAAGTTAAATTATATCTCCTTGAGTGTTTAAAGGAATTTTTTAAATTATATATTTTCCAAGTGCACAGTCGTGTGCAGTTTTGTGCGAAATATTTTAGAGGGTTCTATGGGATGTGCAGCAACTGTAAACTGTAAACTGTAAAATGCTACTAATTGTTTTGCCGCCAATTACGTGCACAAGTGTGTGTGGCAACGTGCACGTGTGTGCGTGTGTCTCTCGTTTGATGTATGCGCTCTGTTTATTAAAATTTATTTTGTCGAGCACCTACTTTTCGGTAGCTCTGTAGCTCTGCCTGCACTCAACTCACCTTGCCGGTAATTTGTGAATTTTCGCATAACATTTAGCACAATTTTCCGCATTTTGCGGCTTCGACTGACAGCGGAATGCACGAGGAATTCTTCAAGTGGGAAATTACGGTTTTTGTTTTCAAATAGATATCCTGACGAGCGGCGAGAATGAAAGTGAGCACTGAAATGGCAGACATAAGTTGAAATATTTAAGGCTTAAATAAAATAACACCTGAAATCAATAAATTCTTGCCCATCTCGTGGCGGCACAATAAATTTTCGTTTAAATAAACATCGAGGTAAACGGCCTCTTGATTTATTAAATCAAATAAACGCTTCTTAAACACACCGAAACGGGGAAACCATTAAACTTGCCGCTGGTCATATAGGCTGACCTGGTTCCTCGGGCAACAGCCTCCCAGAGCCACAATCGCGGGCTCACCCAAAGCAAATGCATTGAGGCGTTAAGCAGGAAGGCGTTTCTACCTCTCACGGCATAACGCGCATACGCACCGTTGTACCGCGGGGGTAGGTGAGTGTTTGTGAGTGTGGGTGCGTATTTGTGAGTGAAGGCAAACAAACATAAAAGTAAACAATAAATGGAAAAAAACAACGTACACTTTTTGTGTGAAAATAAATGATTATTTAATATTTATTTTCATGTTGCTTGAGGAAGGTGGAAAGTGGAAAGTGGCGGTTGCCAGTCGACAGTCGGTTGCATCATTTTTCATGCCACTCGAAGTGGGTCTAAGTGCCTCGCTGGGCCCGGCCATTAATGCCAGTTGATTGGTCAGCAGAGGACTGACCGAAGAAGGACTCAAGGAAGCGCCAGACAAAATACTTACACACATGTATTTATTATTTAGCCAACGTTTCTGATTATTTACGCCTGATAGGACCTGGAGGGTGTAAAAATGATTGAATGTGCCGCCCGGAGAAATCCGAATTGGATGGGTCAGCTTGGGCCTTCGGCTTTGTTGTCTGCCCTAAGTTTTAGTTCTGAGCGAATTACTGGGGGCTCGAGTGATTTATTGATTTGAATGGGGACAGCAGAAGCTGGGTGGAAAATAAGCAACATTAGCTGGAATCGGAAAAATGTGGTAGAATCCTGTGAAACTTATTCCATAAAACTATAAAGCAGAATGAGAGCACTTTGTAAAAATATCCCACTAAATTTAGCATTCATTATTTAAATTTATTTCCTTGAGCAGTACAACCTCTTCATTTAATGATGTTTAAGTAGGCTGTAGGCAATCCATATTGAGCTTTACTCTTATCCCTCGCTATCCTTAACCACCTTTTCTTTTTTGAAAACAAAAAAAACCAATGAACCGTAGAGACAATCAAAACTCACACAGACACACGCTCTGCTGCCGCAATCACTCAA